TTTTAAGGGAATTCCAGCACACTTCATGTAAAACTAGAATTAAAAGAATCCACTTGTTCTCAAGATGAGAAAAAAAAATAGTATACCAAAGAGTTTGAGCAACAGGTCTTCCCCTAAGTTTTTTAGGGAAGTTAAATCCTCAAGAATCTCAAATAAAATACAATATTACAAACTGTCTTTTTAGGTTTTAAAGCAGTTTGTTTGCTTTATATTGAAATGTGTAAAAAGGCACTTAATATTTAATAAGTCAGAAGTCCCAAATAGAAGGAGCTCTTTATAAATTTTGGCAAAATTTTTAATTACCAAAGTCAGATGACAATTGCCATTTCTTCACATCCATTTAACATCTAATCTAATCCATTTAACATAAGAGTATTTTATAAAAAGAAACCAAAAAACTTTCACCTGAAAATTTCTATTGAAATATGATATGATTTTCTATCAAATATTAATTCTCAACCAAAGCTCTCACTTCAAAGTCCTAAAAATGGGAACCATTCTCTGAAAATGCTACACACCCATCACCAAGATTTACTTCAGAAAACCAAAAAGGAACATAATATAAATTAATCTAAAAGCATCAAGATAAAAGTCTGAAGAAGACATATAACCATATTCCAAGGGGATTATTTAAACCATGCTAAGTTCAAAAATGTCATAATGTTACAGGCAAAGGCAAGTGCCCATATGTAAAACTGCAGGTTTACCAAATGCCCACGTGTAAAACGTTAGTTCTCAAAGTGTGGTCTGTGGGATTCTGTTTCATAGGGTCCAGAAGAGAAAGGTTATTTTCATAACAATACTAAAGTTATTTGCCTTTTTCACTTTCTCTCATGGTTATATAATGTAGTCTTCCAGAACTACATAACATGGGATAGGGTCATCAATCTGACAACTGGTGTGCTTCTGCATGTCTTATTTTTTGAAATTTCTGAGTTTTAATTCGAAATGGTAAATAACAAAATATATAACCTACATTGGGGTCCTCAATGATTTTCTAAGAGCATAAAGGGGTTCTGAGACAAAAAACAGTTGAAAACCACTGTTCTAGAGTATTTCAAGGCCTATGGCAAAAGCATGTTAAGGCTTTTAGAGTCAATAGTAAGGGGCACAGGGATGACTCAGTCGGTTAAGCACCTGACTCTTTGGTTTCAGCTCAGTCGTGATCTCATGTTTCATGAGATCAAGCCCCAGGTCAGGCTCTGTGCCCAGAGTGCAGAGTCTGCTCAGGATTCTCACTCTCCCTCTCTCTCTGCCCCTCCCTGCTCACACTCTCTCTCTCAAAATAAATAAATAAACATTAAAAAGAAGAGTCAGTAGTTATAAAAGGTCCCCAGCCCCCCCCCCCCAAATCAAATTCCCCTAAAAAAACTTTAAATTTATTAAAGTTTCTGGGCATCATTTACAGGATGTCCAACATCAATTCCCTACAAAAGTACTTAACATAGCAGCTAAGAAAGTTTGCTGCTTATAAACTAAATATATCTCTACTACAAAGTAATATTTGAATACTTAAAATAAAAGCAGAGAAAAATTAAACTTCTGAATATAATCAAATATATATGTATTAACTAATAGATACTTGCCAAGGTATCACTACCTAAAATAACCGGGAAGATTAAGATACAAACAATGGCCATAGACAATAAGAATTACCTTTAGTCATTTTTACAAAATCAAGAGCATATAAACATGAAATTCAGAAATATAAAATAATAATCTCCATTGATTAGTTTTTATTAATTTTTTTTATCTAACTTGAGTAACATTTAAATAGAAATAGAATTATCAAAAATTACTGAAGATTCTTGGGGAAAAATAGTCACCAAGCTTTCAGGTAGAATATTATCAAGGGAAAACTAACTTTCTATCAGTTCTTCTACATCTCTGCAGGGGGTAGAGCAAAAGGAAAATTAACATAAATTAACACAAGAGAAATTAATTTAGCTACTATAAGCAACTTCTTGACAATTTTACTGAGGCACATTTCCAAGAAATACTCCGGAATCTCATTTCTTTGGGACTTAATCTAAATCTATAAAGTCCCATTATTTAAAGTCTCTTCTGGTAGGAAAAAAAAACCCTAAAATAGCACATGTGGCCTTCCAATGTACCATAAAGGACAGTCTACAACCTCTTAAGCAATATGTTATGTATTACAGATTATTAACAAGTAGATAATGTATACATTCTATGTGGCAAATTTCTAAACATATGCTGGTATTTTCCGCACCTTACCATTAATCTAACTCTGCCTCTGTCGTGAGCCAGCCTACTTTTGTGAACGTCAGACTAATAAAAATGAAGTAAGAAAGTGATGCTGCCAAAGGTAAACTTACTAACTTGAGAGAAACTGAGTACTAAATACTATAAAATAAACTGGATAAAGCCTAAATCAAATCAAATCAAAAAATACACTGGATAAAGCCTAAATCAAATCTGAACAACTGATTTTTCCATATTTCTATTTCCCTAAATTGGCACTGGGAATATGGAACTGTTTGTGCTATAGCATTGTAAATATCATATTCCAAATGACAATTTTCCATTACCTAAATATAAGAATTAGGATAGCACTGGAAGCAGGCAACATTCTTCACATGAAAGTGGATAACCCAGAAGTTTGCCAATGTTTATAATTTAAAATATAAACTATTTCATCACTACCAGCATATAACCCACTCAGTGCCTGTTACTTAGTATTCTAGTAAGAAAAATTACCAAGTTTTTAAATGAAACCTACTTAAAATAGGTAATCACTGCTATGAAAAACTTTTAAGTAGAAGTAATGTAAAAGAATAAAGTATACAAGGAAATTCTCCCTACCAGTTTACCCTATTTCAATGATATGAAGAAAAAAAAAAGTGCTTGCTAAAGAAGTGAATTTTCATGACAATAAACACATTAACAGAAATGACAGACTTAATTATAGTTCTACATGTTGATGTAACAGGTACATCTACATGTAAGACGACAACTCAATCTTTCTTTTGAAGAAAAACATATACATAAACACACAGACAAACAGACATAGATGTGTTTGACTGAAGAGTCTTGAATGTTGCATCTTGGGCCCAATGGATAAACCTAACTTTCGGTAGTAGAACTTCAAGTGGAAGGAGTCATTACTGTAGTTTTATAACAGAAATGTTTGTTTTATGACAGGAATGTTTGATTTTTCTTTTTCATTTCTTTGCAGACAGAACTTATTCACTAAATATACGTATACATATACTCCCCTACATCTAAAGCAAAGACTTGGTGACTATTCAGATGATGAGTGTTACAACTGGTAAAGGAAGTAACCTTAAAGTGAGTCTCTAAAAGTCTGAGGCAATCATTAAGCTGTTTGTTGTCCTACTCTATTCTAGAAGTCTAAATTTTCATGTGGATACAGGATATAACTAAGTTGAAATAAAGGTGACCTTTGTTTCCATAATTCACTGAGCACCGTTCAGCAGTCCTATGAACAATGGGATGAGAGAATAGAAAGGGGAAAGGAAAACTACCGTTTCCCTAGTCTATGGGTATAAAAATATTTCTCTAACTATATAGACTGTAAGCTCCTTGAAGACGGTGATTGTGAGCTCCTTGAGGACGGTGACAAATAGTAGATACTCAATAAAGGCTGGCTGACCAAATGAATAAATGTTACAGTAAGGTGCTCATTCACTCCCACAACTGTCTATAAATAGGATTTCAAGGAAGCTACTTAATATAACGAGCAGAATGGTTTAGAGAAGAATTCCCTTTTCCCCAGACAGACAGATATCATAAAAATTGGGTTGATCTACCTCATTACTCTTGCTTTGAGATAGTGTCAGGCTATCATTGGTCAGTTCCTCATCATCAGCACTGTTTCTGCTAAGAACTTTACTCTTCTTCTTCTTGCAACCCCCATCACTGGCAGGGCTGCTGTGATCTTCATCATTGCCTTCATCATTCTCATCCTCATCACTTCCACTTCCCTCATCTTCATCATCCTCATTGTCTCCATCACTTCCTTCTTTGTGAGATGCAGATCTTCCCTTTCTCTTTACTACAGTAGGTCGCCAATCATTGTCATCTTCACTGTCATAGTCATCCATATCATTCAGCTCTTCCATGGATACAAAATCCAAAAGTGGTCGATTTCGACGAAGGTTCCACTTTTTTGGCTCACTGACTTGTTCCTCTGTAGTAGTTGTTGTAGTGGGGACTGATGGAGATGTGTTAACAGCAGGAGGACTTATGGCTGGTGTGGTAGAAGCAGCAGAAGCAGCCACATTATCAGATACTGTCGCTTTTTCTTTCTCCTCTCTTTCCTTCTCTTTCTCTTTTTCTTTCTCCTTCTCTTTTTCCTTGTCTTTCTCTTTCTCCTTTTTCTTTCTAGGTCTTTCTCCATTCTCTTCTTCCTCCTTCTTTTCCATTTTAATTAACTGTTTTTCTGAGGACAGTATTTCTTCCTCTGCAGAATTTTTAAGTTGTTCTTCTTTTACTTTAATATCTTCATTCAGTTCTTCTTCTAAAATATTTTCTTCAGAATCACTACAGGAACCTTCTCCACTGTCCTTTGAAGGATCTTCACTTCCATTACCACTCCCTTCAGAATCTGTTGAAAATATGAGAAAAAAAAACCACACATATGTATATACATACACACACACACACACAACGCTGACACAAATGAAACCACCAAAATTTGTGAGCAACTTGCAAAACAATATAAACAAAGTTAAGTCAAAGAATGGTAGACATTCCCAACCTGATTAAATAAATCAATGAAGTTGGTATAATGGTTTTAATTCAATATAGCACTAATGAAGATGAATATATGTAATCTAAATTAAAACATGCTTTAAAAAGCAGAGCACTATTTTGTGTCATATAGCTCATGCTATATTTGGTACCCTAGAAACAGTTTTTTTCCCCTAAAAGTAAAGGTGTTTCTTTTTAAATTGGGCACTTAATTTTAACTTAATTATACAATACAGATCAAATTCTTCTTCTCTTCCATCTTCCTTTCATAAACTGTATGAACCTACAAGTGTTGAGTCACATTCAGAACAAGAAAAATCTGGCCCAAAAAACTTGGTTTCATTTCTTTTACTCTTTACCCAGCAAAAATGAGCACAGGTATTTATGATAGTCAACATCCCTAACATATCAATCAATTTTATGAGTACCAAGTTCACAGGTGAAAAGAGACAATAGCACTAGCACAGTTAATAGAAGTTGCAAGAGCTGTTATAAATTTTCCTGCTTATTAGGATACCTTTCCTATCAGTAAGAGCCACCTAAACTTTCAAAAATTCTAGGCAGTAACTACACTAGCCCCCAGAATGAAAGAAATTAATAATTTTTTAAAAAGAGAATCTATCTTGGAAATGAGCAACCACAGTAGTCACTAGAAAGATAGGCTGAGAATATTAAAGAATTCATGCAGGACTTCAAGCTTTCTGGCAAGTTTCTTCCACTCCTGATGAGGGCAGGCCAGGCTGTCTTAGACCAACACTACCCAGTAACCTTCAAATCCTCTTTATACCTAATCAAATTAATAAAAATCTAAAATAAAGGAAAGGAGAAAAAAGGAAAGGAACAGGAAGAAATAAGAAACAACCAGTCATAATCAGGTCGTGGTCAACACCATCAGCAAAATCTGTAGAGTGATAAATTTTTTGAGCATATAACCAAGAAAAGGGTAATAAAAATGGTGGAAAAAAGTCTATGTTTCCACACCATTTTAATTTCTGTTAACCAGCCTTAGCCACTATAATTAACTGGGCATTAAAAGAAAGAAAGTTGTAATTAGTATCAAGTATCTAAAATACCCTAGGAATACTTTACAAATGACTGATTAAAAAAATCCTGCAAGTTAAATCACATAAAAAATAAAGACTAACATACAATAGATACTGGCTGACCCTACAAAATAATTGTCAATCTCAAGATGACCATGCAGGAACCCAAGACTTATTCAAAACTGTGGCAGGTGGGGGGAGGAACCTCTCTAAATAATCTTACATAGAACACAATGGCAGTACCATGTAGGTCAACAATCCCTTAGGTGAAACTTTTGGAGCCAGATGTCCTTCAAAATTTTGATTTTTTTCAGATTTTAGAAGGGTAACATGGTATATACACAATATATTACACTAAAATCTCCAGTGAGGTCTGTGGCACTATCCTATAATGAAACACGTATCTGCATTAAAAAGTATGATAAGTACGATAAGGCAACACTACAAATAAACTATCAGTTCCAATTAGGTTTTACCATGAAACAAGTGTGTACCAAACTTAAGAAACATTTTTGGATTTGTGAGCTTCCTGAATTTGAAAAATAAAGAATATCACCCACAACCAGGTAACTTGTTTTCAGTCCAGCAGTTCTGCAAATTGTTAAGAAAATTGTGATTTTTTTTTAACACCACTCATAATTAAACCCAACCTACAATGAAACACTACTTATGGTAAAATAATTTCTAGATATTTTAAAATAAGGATCTAATAAATAATAAGCAGAATTAACTAAACACTTCTAAGTCAAAAAAGAGTCTTTGTGCATACTGACTACAGAAAATTGGAACATCTTGCAAGCAATGCCATAATTAAGAGAGATGGTCCCCATTACCAGAGATACTTTTTAGAAATACCTAAAAGGCATTCCTAATAATTTTTACCAATAAAAACAACAACAGATAACAAAAGTAAGATTAACTGGGGCACAAACGTGGGTACCTAATCAAAACTGAGACGAATCTAGGGGCAGCTGGTTGGCTCAGTCAGTTAAGCATCTGACTTCAGCTCAGGTCAGGATCTCACCCTTCATGAGTTCAAGCCCCACGTTGGGCTCTGCACTGACAGCTCAGAGCCTGGAGCCTGCTTCAGATTCTGTGTCTTCCTCTCTCTCTGCCCCTCCCCTGCTCTCACTCTGTCTACCTCTGGTAGACAAATAAATATTAAAAATAATGTTTATAAATAAATAAATAAACATTAAAAAATTAAAAAAAAAAAGCTGAGACCAATCCAACTTTGCTATTGCTTGGTAAATTTTACAAAATGTTAAAAATTTTTATGATTTTGTCTTGGTTGTTGTTGTTGCCAATGCCAATCATTTATTTTTAAATGTATAGGGAAATTGATACTCTTTGATTCTCTTTTTGTTTTATAATCATGTCTGAATAGAAAGCAATTTGAAAAAAGATTTAAATGCTTTACATATGTTAACATATTATTAGATGAATCTGAAATTTTTCCACAAATCCAAAACCTAGTAGCTTACCCAACCCTTCATTCTCCAAATACAATACATTATTCACACTCCAACTGCAGGCATCAGGATTATATCAAATTTTATCTTTCTTTGATTTCTGAAAAATAACTTCTTCACATCTGATTAGTCATCACTTCTTTTTGGTACATATGCACTTGAGGGATGGAGATAAACAATATTTAGTTACAAACATAGCTTGACAAAAATAACAATGAGAAAATCAGAGTCTTTGTCTATAATTATATTTTTGTAGGCTGCAAAGAAAAATTTCCTATTATTACAAATTCAAACAATGACTCTGTCAAGTTCCAAATCCATCACTCTTACATCTTTTTTTTTTAAAGGTAATAATAGACTAGAGAAATAAGTCAGATACATCACGTAAGTCAGATACTTAGCATTAGAAGCAATTCTAACTCTTCAATAAATTTATTTTTTTTTAGGAAAAAAGCTTTAAAATTGAAATCCCTCTTTTCTATTCAGTTAAGTAAAAAGTAACCTTTCTCAAATACACAATATAGCAAACTCTCTCTCGAAACAATAGCTGTTTGACAGTTAAGCAATTTTTTACAGACACAGATTTTAAAAAACAACTTTCAAGAATTCTTTCACAATATTCAGTGCTTAAGTTCTCCCCATGATAAATATTAAACAATAAAATTGGTATGATTTGACTCAGTTTTATTTTACCTTTGCCATGTAAAGAATCATCTTTGTTCATCAACCTTAATTAACTATTCCCTTCATTGATCTAATGCAATAGCGATTAGCATTTATAAATATACACAATACAGAATAGACAGAACACCAGTCTACAGGTTATTCAGTTATCTCCTTGAGGCCATTTTTGACTAATCCTGTACATCCTTCTTAAAAAGTCAACCAGTCAACCAACACAACTCCTCTTCTATTCATTATCTGTGTCATTTAACATTTTTTGGGTAAATTTAGACCAGTGGTTCTCAAGTAAGAACAATTTGAATTCTGTCCCTCAGAGAACATTTGGCAATGACTAGAGGCAATGGATGAATAGTCACCATGAGAGACAGGGGTGCTGTGGCGGTGGAAGGAAGAAGAGATACTACAGGCATTTAGTAAGTAGAAAACAGATGCTGCTAAACATCCTACAATAAACATGACAAGCCTCCATTACAAAGAGTTATGTAACAAAAATGCTAATAGTGCCAAGATTGAGAAACCCTAGGGGCGCCTGGGTGGCTCAGTCGGTTAAGCGGCCAACTTCGGCTCAGGTCATGATCTCGCGGTCCATGAGTTCGAGCCCCTTGTCAGGCTCTGTGCTGACAGCTCAGAGCCTGGAACCTGTTTCAGATTCTGTGTCTCCCTCTCTCTGACCCTCCCCGTTCATGCTCTGTCTCTCTCTGCCTCAAAAATAAATAAACGTTAAAAAAAAAAAAAAATTGAGAAACCCTAGTCCAGCAATATAAAGCCTCAATTTAACCTCATTATATTTTCCCAAGCACATCTCTTTTATTCTTTTACTCAATCCAGATCCCCAACCCCCTGGACATTTTCCAGGCTCCACACTTCTAATATTAAGGTTTCCCTCACCTAGGCTGCTTCTCCTTCAGTTTCTAGTTCAACTCATCTCCTCAATGAATTGTTCTAGATAAAGTAGTCCTATCTCCTTGACTTAAACTACACAAGTAATCAATCATGCCTTGCATCATTTTACTGATTTAATTATTTTAATATCATCACTTTTCTTTGTGAAATCACCATAATATCCAGCAAAGTGCTTTTAAACAAAACTAAAGATCAATAAACATATCTTGACCAATTAGCCTAAATTAGATTAAGTGCAAAATACTACCAAAGCAAAGTAGCAGCCTGACCCTTCAGGTAAATTATTTTCTGGCAATTTGTCCTAACTAAACTAACTATGGCCCAAGATCTAAAGTTAATCATCCTACCTTGGCCAGTGTGTTAGTGGAAACAACACTGCTATTTTGTTTTATTTAGAAGGAATACAAGCACTCATCTTCAAAAACATTGATCAGATTACTAAATGTAATCTGTCCTAACCCCAATCCTAGGATCAAGTCTCAAATATAACCAGTCTAACTAGGTTAAATGATAAAACTGCCAATAATCTAAAATGGTAATTTTATGTGGTTCAGTTTAACATGTCTACATATGGTTCTTCTGGTGGTTATCACCATAATTCTAATGTTTGAAGACTTATTAATTTTACAATTTATTTACTGACTGCCCTCAACCAAAAATGAGAAATTTAGCTCTAATGTGACTCTTGATCTTGGGGTCGTGAGTTTGAGCCCCATGTTGGATGTATAGATTACTTAAAAATAAAGTATTTAAAAAAAAGAAATTCAGCTCTAATTTCACATTAAAGAAAAAACAAAAGATGATCTATTTTCAGTTTGTACTTTTCTAAAGGACTTGTGGCCATTAACATCACTTGCCAATCTTATTGGCAGGTCATTTTTTGATCAATATTTACCTTTTTGTATTTTATCACGGAGAACTACATGAATAAAATTACATTTACCTGCAAAGGTATTGAATATAATCTTTCAGAATTGTCTTTATTCTCAAAGCCAAACAGAAATGTGAAGTTTTTTAGCCAGAATTTCTGAATTCAAAATGAAGAGCAAAAGAAATTGATGCACAGAATCCCATGAATAAAAATGGAGGCCAACCAATCTAATCATTTTAATATTAAGTTCTAAGGGAGTCAGTAGTTCATTCAACAAGTCATTTCTAGACATTGCTTTTAAAAGCTTTGATCAGACAGATGGTAAGCTATTTCTCCACTTCAGTTTCATCTACTCATACATAGGATTGGGATCCCACAACTCTAACATGACTGAAAACCAACGAAGAATCTATGTCTTGTTTCTTGTAAGAGTTCAACTACCTCAGGCAAAGAAAGGATACAAACAGGAAACACTAGTAATCTAGAGTAAGCCACCACCTCAGCTATGAGGGACACGAATGCACCTTAACCAAAAATGGAAAATAAGATTCAATTGCTATTAACCACTTTAAACAAAATCATTTTCTACTATAATCTCCTTTACAATAGCATAAGAACTGCACAGGGGCCAAAGAAGTAAATTACAAATAGAACAGACTAGGTATGATACAAGAGGGAACAGAATGTATATATATTTTTAGTGTTTTTAAGAGATTTTTAAAAAAATTATCAGCCTAACAACTCATCCTCCCATTTTTCATACATAAGTGATAATTCCCATCAATTCTGATTAAGATTTACAAGATCAGGAATCTATACTTAGCTTGATACCAAAAATTATCTTGAGAAAGTAGTTTGTATCATTAGATCGTTTTAACCTTTGTAAAGACAAGTGCTAGTGATACCTGTAAATGACTACATCTCAATAAAACAAAAAAACCTACCAAGTGAGGATTTATTGTCACAGAAACAATTATGGAACACTTAAAGATTTGGCTTTAGAGTTTTTTCATAATTGGTGTTCAAATAACTCATAACTTCTGAGACCCAACGACTGTTGTCACAGTTAACAACCTTGACCAAAACTACACTCTAACCAAAAATATTCTTATCTACCAAGGTTCTCACCAAGAGAACTTAAATAGTTTTGGATTTTACCTCCCGTCCCTTTTTTTCCCCTTCTTTGGAAGGACCAAACATCAGTGAGTTGACTAAATGAGAAAGAAAGTAGCTGAGAAGCAAAGATTAAAAGGCAAGATAAACTTAACTTTTGACTGTTGGGAGTGACCTCAATTAGTCATAACATCCAGGTAGCTTCAGTTTAAAATCACATCTATTTACTTTTAGGATCAAAGCAGTAAAAAGATTATTAAATTTTGGAGTCAAATATATCCATTATGGCCTAAGTGACCCCATGCAAGTTCTTTGAATTCAGTCCTGTTTTCTGTAAAATAGTATCTCCTTCATTAAGTTATTATAAAAGTTAAATGAGATTATGGAAATAAAATGTTCTCAGTAAATCACAATGCAAATTCTACTTGCTGATGCTATTGAAAGTAATATCAGAAACAACACAACCTAATTTCATCTCCTACCATCCCTAGCAGGAGAAAAAAAAAAAAAAGAAAAACCAGAGGAAAGGAGAGAGAAAGGACTAAGTATAGAAAGCTCTCCGGAAGAATATATTAAAAGTACTAAAGGAATGAAATTGAAAAGGCTTTAACTTCTCATTTTATTTAAATCTCCAACAAAAGGGGACAGATTTAAAATAATTTTATTGTTCGTGTGTATTAGTATTTTTCACATAAAATAAACACAATTTGTATGCATTTCTCAGATTCCTGCAATTAAAACTATATACATGAAGCACAATAAACAGAAGATACCATGGAAAACCATATTTTTCTGTTTTCCATTTAGTATGTGAATATATGACCTTTTTAAAGTTTACTGTTTTTAGAATCACAAAGTATAATGAGCAAACATGTATCTTTATACTTCAGAGTTGTTTGGAAGGCCCAATCCACAAGGTCCAACACCTACCACGAAGTACAACTTTTCACACTGGCTAATTTTATTCTGGTAAGGGAGCTAACAGACAAACAGCAAAACTCCCCTCAGAGGGTGTCAAGTGATTTGAAAAGAACCCTGCTCATGGGCTGTATATGGCTCACGATACTCCCAGAGTATTTATTGATTTCGCAATACTTCTCGTTTTTTTTTTCCCCTCTATCCATAAAATAAGCATAAATACATTTTTGAGTAAAGAATAGAGAAAATGCTTTCGAATCAATGGAATAAGTTTTTTTCTGCCTGCTAATTATCTGAGTATCAACATAAACAGAAGCAACGGTAGGTTCTAGTAAAAGAACCTTAGGGAAATCACATGGACAAAATAAATGAAGTTTATGTGCTTTAACTTTAAATTGACACTTAAATCAAAACCGATTTTTAATAGGCTCTGAAAATAAGCCCAATTCCAGGAAGCTGAGAAAAGGGAAGAGAGAAGGAAACATTTACCTGAGGCATCTCCAACTTTAAAATCACTGTCATCTGAACTATCATAATCGAGAGCTTCTAGCAGAGAAGCTGCCAAAGGCTTCACCTGCCTCCTCTTGGAGCTGCGATCCACTGTTAAGAGAAAAGCATTACATCGTCATTAATAATCACACCAAGGGCAGAAGACACCTGTGATGCTGAGGGAAGACACAGATGACCTCGTGCAGGGAATCTTTGTCTAATTCAGTTCTCAGCAAATGGTGTAAGAAGCTCGCGGTGGGTACGCGGGCTGGGGAGGGCTGGGCAGCAACACCTACAGCTCCAGCCTGGGGTACGGCAAAGGCGAACCCAGGCCGGCCAAAAGCGAAGCTGACCCTCTTGCACATTGTTATGTTTCTGCCACTTGTTCATAATCCCTCACTTAGATATAGTAACAGTCAATACAAAGAAACCGCAAAGCCCAGGTAATAAAAGAAGCCTGTTCATTCCCGTGTACGTGGAAGGTCCAAAAAAGGTCCAGTTTCCCGCAGGAATCTGCCACCCCCACCCTGCTCCCACAGGCCCTGACTTCTAGAAGGGCTGAAATGCACCTTTCTCCCGCCGGAGGCCTCCGACACACTTACTAAGGAATCCGTGAGGTGGTCGTTTGGAGGAAACCTAGGGAGAGGCTTCGAGAGCCCAGGCAGCGCCGAGGTCGGGACTGATACCGCGGCAACAAATCCGAAAGATGCTACTTAAAATCGGTGCAGCGACCGGACCCGGGCGCCTCTAGAGCGGCCCCGGTCCCCTCCCGCCCCCCACCCCGCCCCCTACTCCTCGCCGAACCGGCCCCTGCAGCTCGCGCCCCTTCCCACGGCTCCCCTGTCAGAGGCGCCCTCAGGCCCCAGCAGCCCCGGGCAGTAAATTTCCTCCGTCAAAACTGTTAGAAAAAAAAGAAAAGAAAAGAAAGAAAAACTTTATTAGCCTGCACCAGATGCAACAAAAGACCCAGAATTCGCAAAGTCCGAGGCCGTTTGCCTGAGACAATAGAGAAAGCAACGACCCGGATACAGCTCTGAAGAGAAGGAAGTGAAAATACACAGCAAAGCACGGCCCTAAAAGCAGCCACAGACGTGAACGCATGCGCCGAACTTGCCGCCGCTCTCCTTGTCTCTGTCTCTATCTCTCTCTGTCTCCCCAACCCCCCGCCCCGTGGGAGGAGGGGCCGAACAGAGCCGAGCAAGAACCGAGAGGAAACCGAGACGAGCCGAGTAGTGACGAGAGCCGAGAGCCCTCCCGGACCCTGCGCCGCTCTTCCTACACAAATCCCTGAGGTTTCACCGCCAGCCCAAATCCTTGGGAGGCAATTTTTGTTTCTGGCTTTTGTCGTGTAAGGAGTTACTCAGAGTACACTGGACGTAAAAAAAGACGTTGCTAACTTAAGTTACTACTAAAGAAACGTAAATAATACCGAGAGCCACACTCTACCTACTGCTTCTGTAAATTGCATCGCTTCAAATATCTTGGAACTTGAGAAAATTTTATTTTCCCTAAGAGGTAAATGAGGTGTGAGAATTGTATTAGACTTTGCTGCCTTGAAAATCACAAATGTAACAAGAGGGAAAAAGCATTGATTTAGTTATGTTAATATTACAACGAGTGTACTGTGGACAGTTATTTTCACATAAATAGTTCAATTTTACTAAGAGAAAGAATACATCTAGCGGGAAATATTCCATTTCACCAGTATATCATGTATGACGTAGGGATGTGTGTCCATATGAACGTGACATAATGCCTTGCATCTGCCTAGGGAATTTATTTTTTGAGACGAATTTTTAAACCCATAAGAACAGCTCAACATGCACAAACGGATTTGTTATTTCTTCAACAGTTTCAAATGCCATATTACATACAGGTTAAATACTTTTTTAATGATACTAAAATGTTAGAATCTGAATAGTATTAATATTTTTCAAAGGTTATATATCAAGGGTCGAGAAAGATTTGGATGAAGTTAATTCAGTTCATTAGTGTATTCCACACATAAACATGGAGTGGCAGTGTTTGTAACATGGGGAAGTAAATGTGTAGGAGTCAAATCATTAGTAGTGGAACTTACTCTTTAAAGAAACATGTTGGGGTGCCGGGGTGGCGCAGTCTGTTAA